TAGTTGTAATTGTAGTTGTTTTTGTAACACTAATTCTTATAGCATTGTTTGGGAAGGAAGTGCATTCGGAGCATTGTTTCTGATATATGTAGTTATTGTGTTCTTAATGTTTGTGGTGTTTCTTAAAGCTAAGCAGTATTATATATGTAGCAAAGAGTTTTAAAATAAAATTGTGTTGTATAAATTAAGTGTGTAATCATTGTGAAATCGTGCAATCAGCTAGCCACTCCCCCAGCCAGTGCATCAAAATGAATCAGTAAATTGTGTGGGATTTTCTCTATTCCATAACCCACTAGAGACAAGGCTCAAGGGTGCTTCAATGTGGGGGCTGCCTACTGGCTATCCCCACGCTGAAGCTCCCTCATACCCACAGGTGATGCATAATGGAGGACAGGGGGGCACATGCCCCCCCCTAAAATTGGCCCTTGCTGGCTGAGGAGTGGGGGCGATGGCCAGTGTCTCCCCTGAGATTGTGGGGGCGCTGAGAGAAGTGCCAGCAATGGTGATCGGCCACTGGGGGACCCCCCCATCAGTGATCAGCCACTGGTGCCCCCCCAGGATCAGGAGGCACCAGTCACCCATGCTAGTACCCTAGCCAGCCCTTCTGCAGTGCACTGAGCTGGGAGGAGCAGCTCTGGGCTGGGAGACTGGCTCCTGGGGCCCCCTGCCAGCCAGGGCTGCTCCACCTGGGCTCCATGTGCTGCACTTAAATAAACTGTGGAGCTTATTGCTCCAGAGTTAATTGCTCCCAGGCACACTTCCAATGGTGTGCGCAGAAGCAATTAACTCCGGAGCAATAAGCTTCGCAGTTTATTCAGGTGCCGTTATTACATGTGTAGATGTGCCCAGTGGTTACTTTACTTTGTGGTATTCCATGCAACAGTGCAGGAGAACACCTCATTAGGGTGACCACCCAACCCTAATTGGGTGGGTCAGTCCCAAAATGGGAACATCAAGTCTCAGTCTCGGGCTGCATGACTCCAGGACAGCATTTGTCTTGGATTCCCGGTATCATGCAGGAATCCAGGTTTTCTGTTCACCGTGGAAAAACGTGGAAAACAGTGGCTTTCCCCTTGCTGGCTGGCAGAGTTCCAGTCTGCAAGGGACTGCTCGGCGCTGGGAGGAGCGGGATGCAGGGAGCACCATGTGTATATGTGTGTGTACACATGCATATGGCCAAGAATAAAGCCCCAGGTAGCAATGAAGAGCAGCTCCCCCAGCTGCCTGAAGGTAAGTCTATGGGGGGAGGAAGAGGGGAGGGGTAGCTGATCAAGTGACCACCCATCCCTAATTTGGCAGGTCAGTCCCAGAATGGGAACATCAAGTCCCGGTCCAAGGCTGCATGACTCTGGGACATCATTTGTCCCGGGTTCACAGTATCGTGCAGGGATCCGGGTTTTCCATTCACTGCAGAAAACCACAGGAAATGGCGGGTTTCCCCTTGCTTGCTGGCAGCATTCCAGGCTGCAATGGAGCGGGATGCAGGGGGCGCACCACATGCATGTGCGCACCTGCACGCATGCACGTGGCGGGGGTTACAACCAGGCAGCATGGAGAGCAGCTCCCTGCAGGTAAGTCTATGGAGGGAGGGGGTAAGGGCGAGAAGAGAGTGGCAGACTGAGGCCTCCATGGTGAGGGAGGGAGTGGGAGGAGGGCAACAGGTTAGGTAGCCCCAAGCCCACAGCGGGAAGCTCTCATCCTCTCCTGCCGCCATGGGCTCCACTCAGCTCTGCTCTGGCTGCACTGCTGCAGAGGGGTAGGGAAGGCAAGCATGTGTACCGCTTTTCCATTTTGCCTCATATTAATTAAGCCCAGCACCTCGGCATGACCGGGGGGCAGGGGTGGGGGGAAGGGTTGTTGGGAGCAGGGACTTGGTGTGACCCTTCCAAGGAGGATCCATGTTGCAGTAGCAAACTCAAAGGAATCTTAAAGGGAAACACTGCTCAGCAAGCACAGCATTCCTGACTCTCCCAGGCTAAAAAAACAGATGAGTTTATACTGGGCTTTAACTTGCATCCAAGTAGGTTGGATACAGCCATTTACACATGCAGCTGGAATGGCAATTCACTCAAATTTTAGTCCCACTTGTCCTGAGGATGGAGTGGGGGGTGGTGATAGGAGACGGGGGCAGGCAGTGGCGATGCATAGTGGGTGCACGGGGGTACATGTGCACACCCTGACCGGCTGTGCTCACCGTTTAGCAAGCGCCGGCCAGGGAGTGGAGTGCTATGGCACTCCCAGAAGCGGCTGCAGCAATCGGCTGCCTTGTGATCAGCCACAGAGGACCCCCGCCTCCAGTTGGCAGGATTGGCCAAGGGGGGGCCCCCTCCCCCAGTTGCTGACTGTTCGCTGGGGGGCACATGCCCCCCCGATTAAGGTGGCACCAGTTGCCCATGGGGGCAGGAGTGTTATCTCAGTACTTCATGGGCTAGAGACAGACAACTGGTTTGATTTGGATTTGAGGGTATGGTCAAGCATTCATTTGGATAATTCATAAGCACTTCACGTAGGACAAGGGGCTGGGGTTTGCCCTAAAATAAAACACTCAAACTGGAATCAAGCTGGTTGTGTTTTTAGCTTGACTGAGAACAATCGGAGCTGCTTCGAGGGAGCTGCCATTTAAACCTTGTGTGTAAACGACTGTCCTAAACCACCACCAACTCAAGTCAAATCTCGGAGTAGTCCGTCCTAGATTAAACAGTAGTTTGATGGTACTTTTGATTAGATTATGGAGGTGAGGTTATGGATTTGTGCAGGATGATTTGGAAAGGGATGATCCTCAGGCAGGGGGCTGGACTAGATGACCTCCTAGCCCAACACTATACACTAAAGGCCCTGCATAGAGAAACCAGCGATAGAGTTGTTACACATTTTCAAGCACTACGATTGTAGCCTGGCTCTTTTTATAGGTGGATGAGCACTTTTATGGGGTGATAATTACTTTTCACCTGTGGCCAGTCTACATTTATTGCACGATTTGCCAGCGAACTGCATGATTGCACACGTGGCTGGTTTTACTTTGCACGCATGGCCTGTCTACATTTATTGTGTGATTCACAAGCAAATTGCACGATCGTTTGCTCGTGTGGCCAGTGTTGCATTGCACATGCGGCTGGTCTACATTTATTGCGCGATTCACCAGCCAACTGCATGACAATGGCTTTGCAAGCCTGGCCTATTTGCCCAGCGAAGGACGCGTGAACCGCTTCACACGTGTGGCCGATCTCAATTAACGGCACTATTCACCACTCAGTTGTTTCATACATGGTTGTAACGCGTGTCTAGGGCCTGGGAGTCTCGGCTTTCAACCGAGATGGGTGGCAGGAGGAGGGGGGCTACGAGGTTGGCAGGCTCCCAGATCCCGCTCCCGGAGTGTGCTCAGCCCCCGGTCCCGGAGTGGAGGGAGGCGGCGGGCAGAGGAAAGGGAAGGGAAGGGAAGGGAAGGGCAGGGAGCTCTTTCCTCAGAGGAGGAGGCAGGGCCGCGCCTCCCTGCTGCCCCCGTGAGGCTGGCGGCGGAGGCGGAGGCGCCGGCATGGCGAGCCTGGGGCAGCT